GCTCGTTTTGCAGTTTAAGTTAACAAATGGTTCGGGCAAATTGATGGAATTTACATTATCTGAGCAGACAAATGCTGACATTTCTGAGTTGGAAGAATCGAAGAAGACTACTCCTTGGCTGTTTAACCCAAATGTGTTTCCTGTTGGTGTCCCATGTTTTGAGACGATAGCATGGACGTTTTCTTCAAAATCTAAGGAAAAAAATAGAGACTCGTTTTCGTCCTGATCATTGCCCTTTTCTTTGCTACTTCCTCTGATAGCTAGTGGAACAGGGTTCTCTATACTTACATCCATCATGCGAAACAGATTCTTAAGCGCATGCAACTGACTCTCGTGGTGTAATTGGATAGGACTCAAGCCATAAATCGCGCACACATTTTGCACGTCCTTTATTTTGTTAATCACATTCGTGTCTACCGATGGGACGTAGTAAGTAGCGCCAATTTTCATATCACAGTAAACTCGTAGGAGATTTTGCGAACAGGCAGGTAGAACGTAGTAAAATCCTGAAGGGGAACTAGGTAGCGTTTTCTTCAAATGAAAACAATCATCTGCTGCATTTTCAGGAGTCTGTCCCAATTCTGTCGTTGAAGTAGAATAATTGGAACTGAAGGAATTTCTTCTGATAATTTTCTCTGATTCGTTAATAACATGGTATATATTTTTCAGCACCACATTTTTTATGTTGGTTATATCGTTATGTAGTTTTTCCTTTTCATTTTTACATTTTTTTAGTTGAGGATTTAATTTCTGAATTTTCAATGCTTCGCTTTGTATCTTCTCTGCGTACTGCTGCAGTTCGCCATCTAGTCGTTTGAGTTCTTTCCCTTCCTGCATATTTACTTCGGAAACGAATTCAAAGAAGTACTTGTCCCTCGCATCTTCAGAATCTTTGACGGTGTCACAGTCCTCTACCACGGATTTTACTCTGTTGGTATATATAGACAATTTTTTTATACCATAAAATAAATTTTGTTCCTGAGAAAACTCAGGATTAGGAGCCATCAATTTGATCTTCACATACTGTCCTTCAAAACTGTGTAAGTTATTAATTGTACTACTCAGAAAATTTGCCAAGTTGCTACTAACTTCTTTGAAGTTCTGTCCATCAATACTTATCATAATTGAGTATTTGGTAGCTGGAAATTTCCAGTCAATAATACATTTTTGCAGTTTGTACTTACTTCCTAGGTTAATATTAAAATAAACAGAATCTGGAGCTGTGTCTATGCTAAATGGTTGTGAGAGCCAAAATGTGTCCAAGTTCCCGTCGACAGCTTTATCTGTGGAATATTTTTTATCTTCCCTGGATAAGGTAGAATCCGTTTGTTTATTTAAGGCTACATCTATGCTACCCGATTTTGAACCATCTTGAGATAAACAGAAATTCCCATCTCTTAATATTTTTACCTGATTATTTGGTAGTAACTGCCAACTACTACGCCCGTCGTTGTGTTCCAAACTGGCATTGCAATCTTCCATTGTTATCCTCCCTCCATTGGCCGTCATGTTGTCCTTCAAACTGATGCACAAATTAGTCACCGGGCTGTATATCTGATTTTGTGCATTCAATTTCCATAGGTCTCTTCCATCTAGATAAGACATGGCCGTGATGCACCCGTCCAGCACTACCTCGTTCGTCTCGTCTACTTGTAGACACAGATCTTGCGTCACGTTGCTCATTCCACTTTGTATCCTGAGCGTTGGGTCCCTCGATCCAAGCACGTTTACAAACTTAATGCCGAAATATCCGTGGATCGGGAGTCTCATGTTCAGCTTAATAGACTTCGCCACCACCACGTGGTTGAAGATGATATTCTGCACAACATTGCCTGTGGGGGTAGGGGGTTCGGTGTTATAAATTCGGTGTTGCCGCTACTTCGATTAGTTTTAGCGGCCAGGGTAGCGTGAGAATCTTATAGTGGTTAGGGAGTAAATTTTTCCGCTAATGTTGCTTCCACCTTCGAACATTACTGCTCCGCAACAACTTACCCGCTCGGGACTCAATGACCTGATAGGGGACGACCTCTTCGTAAGGCTCGCTCCCATCGTAGCTAGCTAAGACAGAGACTTCCCCAGGGCAATATGCCCAATGAACGATGATTCCGTTTAAAGATCTGACATTTTTTAAATGCCCCGTCCACGAAATGACTTCACTGGAAGTGTGTTTCCCTTCAGAGCACCAATAACCTGAACCCCTAGTGAGCGCGTTATCTGCGCCATACTGAGGTAGCCCATTTTCGCCGATGCTCGCAAAGGTTGATGTGGACTCGCAGTTGTCAAACTTGAAAAAGGTGTTGCTTATGTCATTTTCACCTTTCACCAAAAGGAAGCACAGCACGGAAAGCACCAGTGCGTGGAGAAAAAACACTTTTGTCATAGTTGTATTGTCAGTAGCGAGCTCGGGGATGAGTCAAACGGACGGAGAGCAACAGCGAAGCGGCAACGAAGTGGAAACAGAGCTGAATCTAAGCAACAATTACGAAACAAGGAAGCAAAGAAACAAATAAAAAAAAAAGTTATATACACTTACAGACACCCAGGCGTACGAGCAAAGAATTTGGACAAGCAAATTTAGTAAAGGGAAGAGTTAAAATATTTTTACTCAAGTATAAAAAAAAATGTGAACAAAACAAGGGACAAGCTTAAAACCTAGAAAGGGATACACCTTTGGTGTCTTAAGTGAAACACTTGAAAGTTCATTAATATGTCCAGCGGGTGAGACAACTTATGTTGTGGGGTGTTAGAATGAATAGCGCCATGCGCAAGGGGAACTAAAAAAAAAAGAAAAACAAGGCAAACATACATACAAACGGCAGACAAACAACAGAAACACAAACAAAAGAAAGACAAATAAACAAATTTGCGCACAGGGAATTGTGAGTTATTTAAGAAACTGCACGAACAGGAGACATAGGTGTGAGCGCGTTCCTCTGTGTAGATATGAATACGAGCAAGCATTCGTTGAGATAACAACAGGTCTTTGATCCATTTATGGAAGCTACATTTCTGTGTGCGTTTTAATGTGCACCTTCCTTTTCGATTAAAACATTGTTAGCATGTGTACGCGTGTGTGTGTGTGTTTTTTTGTTTTTTTTTTTTTTCCTTTCTTAGTGGCGTGAGCTTTTTCCTTGTATGCACAATGTCCCTATAGAAAAGTACACATTAACCTTGACCTTTAATTTTTTTTTTTTTTTTTTTTTTTTTGTTAATTTCAGAACATACACGTAACGGAAAGAAAAAAAAGAAAAAAAATTATACATATGCATACACCTGAATACAAATATCCTGGTCAAAAATTGCAACTTTGTGGTTTGTCTACACTGGGGGCTGCACTTCCAAATTTTGAATAAGACGATGCACCGGATTTACGTTGACCACATAAATACAAATTGGATGCACGAATAGTTAAAAAGAAAAAAAACATGACAGAGTACAAAACGGAAAAGCGGCGCAAGAAAAGGGCCGCAGTAGGAAGATACCTTATAATAACTCGCAAACATTTTGAAACATCCTTTTTCTCTACAGTGAAAGAAATTTTTACCTGTTTCCGTCCATGTTTTGGATATCGTATGTTTACTGAGCAAATGTGAAATGCCGGAGGGGTAAGCCAGTCAGGTGTATTTTTTCCTTTTATACATGCGCGTTTGCTGTATATATAAGGCTGTAGAGACAAGATAATTTTGCATACTGCTGACTTAAAAACGCATTTGCGAAAAAAGTAGGCGTTATTTTTAAACAAGAGATGAAAAAAAAAAAAAGTTTTCAAATGTAGAAAGGACACCATGAGGGATTATAAAATTTTTTTTTTTTCTACATTTCATTCTGACCAGCTGTATCATTTGACTCTCAAAAATGTAGCGATTGCTAAATAGCGCTCAAGAGATTTTTGCCTTGAAATACGTACACGTACAATAAGCGTACACATCGCTGCGCGCATTGAAAGGAGCCATGCTTCGCGGAATGAGAGTGCGGCGGTGTTTTTTAAGTGAACGCTTGGGCGTGCTGGTGAGATGCGAAAATGGCATGTTAATAAAATATCATATTTTAAAAATGGCATGTGTTCAAATGACACATCCGCGCTGCCAACTTTTTTTTTTTTTTTCCCTCCCCCCAATGAGCGCATATAGCATGACGTACACAGTGTGATGTAGCCAATTCTTTTCGCATAGTCCACTTCGGTAATTTAAAAAAAAAAAAAAAAATTATCATTATTAAATGTTTAAACAAAAATGTGGTATAAAACATTTTCTTGTTACACTTATAAATTTCCACATGTTTTTATTTAAAATGGAAGTGACCCATTTTAAGCGAATAGATGATGTTTCGCATAACTGCTTTGGTCCAATTTTCCCATTTTTTAAAAAAATAGAAATTCGCTGTTTTTTTTTTTTTTTTTTTTTTCGTAAAATAAAGAAAAAAGCGGAGCATCCAAATGTTGTGTGAAAAAAGAAAAAAAAACTATTTTTCAAAAATGCATAGTATACATAATAGTGTATATTATTCAGTGAAAAATGTAAACAATGCTATGCAAAATACATATGTGTAATACACGTTTTTTGTTTTGGGAAAATTTACGCGATAGCGTTTTGGATAACATAGTACGAAGGAAAAGGAAAAAAAAAAAAAATGTATTTGAAGGATAAAACTATAGGATGCATAACGCTTGATGAACCATGTCGATTTTAATTTTTCACAGTAGAGTGACACGTAACTTTTTTCATGTAACTTCTTTCGTGCAACGTTTTATGAGTGACCTTTTCCACGTAACTTTTTATATGTGACTTTTTTTTTAATATTTATGGGTTGATCCTCACGGCATCGCGCACGCAACGCGCATTCATGTAGAAAGGTGTGCATGTGGATAAGTGCATACATAAGACGCGCGTACACCCCGGTACAAGGTAGCATAAGCCACTACACGGCAGCATAAGCTAGTACAAGCCAGTTAACCGCGTTGCCCCCCTTGAGACACGCATTCGCGGCGCAAATATGTAATAATGGCATCGTCCCAAATACGTCAGTTTGCCACCCTCATAGATCAGCTGCCCTGTGAAGCTGATGAGTACAACCTCATGGAAAATTTCGAGGATTACAATAAATGTTTTGAAAGCTCTACCCATAGTAATAAGGGGAAAAAGACTGATTCGTTTTCCCCCTTTAACTCAAACTTAAGCGATTATATAAAAAATATATCGAACAGTCAGGTGAACCCTAACGGGAGCAACACAAGTAATAGGATGAAAAACTCCATTTCGTTAAACTATGATGATAGTTCGAATGTAGAAAATAATACCAATACGCAAAATAAAAACAGTGAAGAGGAAAATCTGATCAGGTGCCACGGGAATAATATCAACAAAAGCGATTCCAATTCATTCGCAAACAATGACCCCGTAGCATATTTCGATAAAGACAATATGCTTTACGAACATGATGTAAATATAAATGCCATGAACAGCTACGATGAAAGCAACGCTCTATTTATCTATGATAACGATTTGACCAAAGATGCGCACAGCAATTACATTGAGACTCTCAATAGCGAAATGGACAAAAGGGGCTGCGAACACGAGGAAAGCAGCGGGATACCGGTGTGCAAGAAAAACATGATTGAAATTATTCACTGTAACAACGAATGTCTGGCGGACGCCAAGTTCGCCAGCGACAGGAGTGCCGCTAGCCACAATGGCAGCAGCGGAGGCGGCAATAACAGCCGGGGTAATACCGATCTGCGCAAAAAGAATGGAGACGTGTCGCTGTACAATTTTAGCGCCCCCTTTAACGACAAAGCGTGCAAGGAGAATGGCGAAAACATCGTTTACAGGTACAGCCCGAACACGTTTCCCTCGAATAATGATAGTTATGGAATGAAAAAGAAGGTTGCCAACTTTAGAAAAGGTGCCGTTCCCAACAAGGATGAGGAGCACGATGTAGATCAGGCATTGCACAACTGCATAGACCTTGCCCTTTCAGGTAAAAAAAAAAAAAAAAAAAAAAAAAAAAAAAAAAAAAAAGGAAAGAGGCAGCGACAAGGGCTAAAATGAGCACTGCTGTGGGGACCTTGTGCAAGTGACTTGTGATCTCTTTTTTACTTTCTCCGTTTAAGCACATGTGCACGCGTCCCGTTCGGAACGCTGTTCGGTTTGACGAGGTGTACATGTGTGTACGTATGTGCATACAATTATGTGTGCGTTCCAGTGCCTTATTTTCCCCATTTTGAGAATAGCTCGCGCAGCATTGTATGCCCATGCGCGTGATTAGTCTTCTGAGCTGCGTCCAACTGGCTTGCGTCTATCAAAGGATGTTACCAACCTTTTGCAACTCCCCTTTCCCCCTGAATACTTCCAATTATAACAGGAGAGAGAAAAAAGGAAAGTCCTCATGCTAGAGCCCCCTTGATCGAAGAAAAAGGAGAAAATCACGAAATGAATGATGAAGGAATGCAGGAAGGTACAAGTATTAACAACCCGCAGAGGTGTGACCAGAAGAGTAACAAACGGAAGGGGAATAAAAATGTCAATGTAAAGAACACCATTGGTGAAAACTCAACGGTAATTGAATATAAGGACTTTTGTGAAATGGTAAAAAAATGTGACGAAGTTAATAAAAATATTTTATTCTCCAAAAAGGCAAAGGTAATCAAATTGGATGCGAACAAATCATTGATTATTTTTCCTGTGAATATTCATGACTATGGAGACAAGTACATTGCAGTGAACCAGAAGGATCTCCTCGAGTACATATCATCATCAATAGAAATTGAAAACGAAGACATATCCTCGCTAAAGATAAAAAATTATCAAAAGGAAAAGGAGCTTCAAAATATGAAAGCAGCTTACAGTATGCAGACAACCAACATTCACTACTTAATCAACAGGGTTATATTCAAAGAGTGTGAGTATGAAAATTTAAAAAACAAAAGTTTGACACTAGAGCAGGAGATAAATAAACTAATCCAGGAAATTAATTCTTTAATCAGTCAGAACAAGGAAGGGCTGTACATGCAAAAGGCATTTATTGATTATAAGTGCAAATGTGTGTTGAAGTTACAAGAGCTACAACCTTTTCTAGGGGAATACTATTACGACATTTTTAATTACATCACGTCATGTAGAACGTTAGGACAACTAAGCATCTGGATTCCTGTTTTTGAAATGAAAACAGAATCTCTGGAAAGTATTGCAAATAATTTAATTAAAGTTATGTTAAACGGATTAGGTGCTCCTTTCAATTCATCACCTCAATATTTTCTGTCAAACAAAAAATTATTGAAAAAGTCCATATCTATAGAATCCGAAGAAGATAGCTTTATTAACAACATAGCTAAAAGAAAAATCATAGATAATTATTTAGTGAACCATTTGAATAGCTTCAACACAACAAAGGAAAATAATTCTCACTTTTCAAATTGTCATTCTTTATGTTTAAACAGTGAGGAATCGTCGTCCTTTCTAGGGACAGAAGAATTGTTCCTCAATTCGTCCAAGTTTCCCTCCATGCATTCAGTGGTACAAAAAAATGGAGTCGATAATAACAACAATCGTAATAATAGTAGTAGCAATATTAATGGATGGAGGAAAGCAAACAGAAGAGAATATTTTCTGAACAAACTGAACAGATCCAATACTACACCAGAACATTTCTGTGTTAATAACGAGTCCTACCCCAATAGTGATGCTCATAGTACCAGAAATGGGCGTGACTTCCCCACCAGTCATATGCAGAACAATCACCATAAAATAGACGCTGCTTTGACGTTAGAGGAAAGGCAACCTGTTAAGCGCAAGCAGGGGGGGAACAACTATGAAGAAAAGGACATGAAGAAGATCAGATTTACTGGTAAGGAATGCAGTATAAATGACTTGTCTCACGACATGCTTGATGGAGACAAGGGTGAACGTAATGAGGTGGGGTTGCTCAGCAAGGGGGAAGAGCCTTCCTTCTTAGACAAAGCATGTGGGGAAAGCAAACCCCACAGGGGTTACAAAACTGGGACTAATGTATACACCGAAGTGAGAGACAACCTGTCCGAAGACACATGCAGAAACGATTGGTGCCAGAAGATACATGAAAACGAATATGATTCGCAAAATGAAGGAAATGACGATGAAGATGTGGTCGATGTTTATAACAGTATGATCGAAAGTAAGTCGGCACTCACATGTTGGCAGACGAGTCAAAAAGAGGGGAGCGAAAATGAGGAGTTCGACGATCTAATTGAGGTGGTCAACGTAGACAAAATGGGGGATGGCACCCTTCCTCCAAATATGGACGACGAAAGGGAGAGTGCAGCTAGCAGCGTCGTAGAGGTAGAATCCGACGGGAGAGAAGTGCTCAAGGGGCGCAGTGTTAGCGGGACGAAGCACCAAATGTATATAAACATAGACACGGACATGGAGGCGGAGGTGGAAGCAAAGGTAGATGTGGACATGGATGCCGAAATGGAAGGTGACCTCAATGCAGGGGCGGACGCGCTCTTGAATCGCCAACCAGTTCAACATAGTAGCGCGAAACATTCAACCCAGGAGAGACGAAAGGATGATGCAGAATTAGAAATACCCAACAAGAGCGAAGGAGAACACGAATTTATGAACCACAATGGCACTGCCGAAGAAAGGGGAAGTCAGGTTAAATGCACACCGAAGAATCAGAAAAGAGCAGGTGAAGCTAACAAGCAAAAGCGATTCAAGAAGCTGGATAGTGCTGTGGAGGGAAGGGGCCAAGACACCAAAAAAAACAGAATAAAGAGCAAAGGGAGAGGAGAGGCGTGTCATAATTAAGGGAAAAGTACAGTAATACACCGCCCACCCTTTAGGCATGCGTAGGGAAGGAGCGCTGATAAGCATCCAAGGTTAAAGCCATTTTAATCAGCGCAATTAACGAATAGGGTAGAGGCAGAGAAAAAAATGACCTGCACGATGGTAGCAATTGTAAGGTGTTTAACGCAAAACAAGACACATCGCAGCGTGTGCAGCATGGCATTGAATAATTGATTTTTTTTCCTGTAAGAAAACAACATGCCCGTATTTATTATGAATCGGAATGGAAGTGAGAGCAACATAACCGAAGTAACATTCCCCAATACTATGTGGGCCCTCAGTATGATGATCTGAGTGAGGAGTTATTTTCGTGGAGTGCAGAATCATCAAGCGGTAACGCGTGGATCGTAATGATTATCCCTGATTAACTGATTTAAGTGATGCGCAAAGAAGATAAAAAAAAAAATTATGATGTTTTGCATGTCTCTTTTTCATATATGCATGTTGCGACTCTGCATATATTTAGACGATGTTCCCAGGCCCTGGAAAGGTTTCATTTGACTCTGTATGTCATTTCCTTTTCAGGTTCATACTTCTCCCAATAGAGTAGCTGATACGGCGGGTTACGTATGACCACATGTGCATGTCAAAAGTGATGGTAAAAAATTTTACTGATTCTGCCTCATGTGCACAACAAAATTGGCAAAAAAAAAAAAAAAAAAAGAAGGAGAAGAAGAAATATAATTACCCCTTTTACAGTGCTATAAAGGACATATTTATACATTTCTTCTCCCCCTACCCCCCAATTTTTAAAAAGAGAAAAAGCAGAAACACAACTGTTACCCGTTTTCATGACGCGCAAAATTAAATTATGCGACTGTTAGTGTTTCTGCCCCTCAATATAATTACCATTTGGCAAAAACTGTGCAATTACCTATGTACACACCACTATATATGTACGTCTACACATATTATTCATTTATTGAGAAAGGTGGGCATAACGACAAGTCGTGTCCTGCGATTAATACATTCACATTTCCCCTTAGAGGAACTGAGATGTCACATGCACGGCGCCTTGTCTTGGTGTCATTATTTTATGTCCAATGGCCAACTGCCTCCACCCTGATATATGCATGTGTCCACCTTTTTCGATAGATTTTTGTCCCCTGTTTTTCACAAGTTCATGTTACGTTATGAGTTTTATTAGACACTGAAGGAGGGAAAACACGCGTGCAGGTACATACATATATGTATGAACGTACGTGTGTCTTTCTTCGCAATTCTTTACATGCTACATTTTTGCCCTAGGTAATACTAGTCAAAGGCGCATTTTTATGTCACAGCGCCACAGTTCCTCCAGTGTTGTTTATCCCTTCTCGCATTTGGTGAGCTCTTTTGTTGCGTGGTTGTTTCATCCTGCTAGCATATGCGCGGAGTGACGCGACTAGCGTTCAGATTATTTTGTAGGAACAGAGTTAAGCACGGGGATATGGATACACTTATTACTGTACACATTAATGTGCATATTACTCGTGTATGATTTTTTTATTTTCCCATGATAGATTTGTAAGCGTTCATTAGCACACCTTTTTTCATTTGCACATTTGTCACTGGCCCTTTTTTTTTTTTTTCTTCTAAACATTGTTAAATTTGATTTACACTTTTAGTCACGCAATGAGCATCCCTTTTTTTTTTTTTTTTTCACCTCAAATTAACACAACTTTGTCAATATGATTTTATGATTTAACTAAATTATAGCAAAAGAATGGGAAGATGATTTTTTTTTTTTTTATTCGTGAGGCTTTAACAGATAAGTAAACCATATTAGTGAGCATCTTCAGCTGAATGTAACATGCTCTCTTGTGTGTGCAAAATGGTACACACGTTTATCAGGTGTAGTATGCTTTTAATCAGATGATTTAAGACAGAGGTACTTTAAGCCTTACACGCGTGGTAAGTACCTGCTATTTTATAAAGCACATTTTGAGTTATCTCCGCATAGGTGAAGGGAAAAAAAGTACAACATTGTTAGGCAGTCTTGTGTTGACCTGCTTTACGTGGTTGTAAATTCATTCAAAGGATAAACTCGGTTTTGCAAACAAGGCAACCGCTTGAAGGACTACGTGATGTGCACATGTGTGTGTCGCCATAAAGGGGAAAAGAAAAAAGCAAAAACAAAAAATTCCCCCTTTGTTTTTGTACGTAATATATGCAAGGAATTGTCCAGCACATGCAATAGGACGCTTTGAAAGGAAGCTTTGTGCATATAAGCCTACCTAACTCATCATTTGTACATGACACCACAGCGACTACTCTGTGTTAGGAAAAAAACGCATGGTGCATTGTCCCCCATATTATGTAACGCACATGTGGCTACAGTTACTCGACGCATACGTGGAGCAAGCTTGTCTTTCGTGTAGGCCCCGAGGCGCGGTGTCGTGAGAGGCCCTCAAAAAATGGCCAACTGAAACAGGAAAAAGGGGGACACAGCCAATAAGGATATTCCAAACGGGTGGGCTCGCCCCACCACCGCGCCACATATAACGCACTAATGAAGACCATATCTGTGGGGTTCACAATTTACGAGGCGCAGAACCTGGAGGTGGAGGACAAGGCCTTACTGGACCCGCTAGTAATTGTGCGCTGCTGCAACGAGCAATACATCACGAAAAAGAAGAAAAAAAAATACAACGCAGTTAACTGGGAGGAGAGCTACATATGGGATCGACTCATCCTGTCAGAAATCGAGTGGAACGTAGCAAAAATAGAATTTGAAGTCCAAAGCGCGAATAACTTTTGGAGGAATGATGTAATAGGAGTCATTTCATTCGAACTCAAGTTGATTAAGAATAAAAAAAACCACCAGATATATGGGACCTATCCTATACTGTATAAAAATGGCACAGAAATAAGGGGGCAACTGAGGCTGAGGGTAATTGTCTGTGACGAGAAGGATTACGTAGCCAATAGTGACATATTTAATGATTTGACCGAAAGGAATGAAAGGCCTACATTGTACGGTGGTGCAGCTGGCTACTATGGAAATGGCTACGAAGATGAAGAGGACAATGATCTTTACACAGATTTGACCAAAGCAGTGGTAGAGGAAAATCAGATTATGATCAGAGACACACATTGTAGGAATTACTACCTATATGTTAATATACACAAAATAGAGGATATATACATAGATATAGACAGAAAGAAATTTAGAGACCTGTATGTTACATGCGAATTTAATGGGTGCCACCTGAAGTCAAGTCAAGGAAGAAACTGTGTGAATTATACCTTCAATGAATGCTTTAAGATTCCTATCTCTACTCCAATTTTGGAAGATTCTATCATTATTAAAATATGGGATTGGAATTTCCTATCAAATGATGAGCTCTTAGCTATAGGAGTTTTATCCTTTAACCAGGTAAAGAATGAGTCCTTAAATCCAACGTGGATAAATTTGTATGGGTTTAATAAAAAGGAGATGGACTTTGAAAAGTATACTGATCAGTTGGTTAATTCTGATTTTACTCTCTATATGGAGGGAAATTTTTATCTGGGTAGGATTTGTATAAGTTCCTATGTTGAAAGGGTAAACAGCTTTGAGAATATGAACATTGCCATGACTCAGAGTTGCTTAGCTTTTGACGATCCTGTGTACATTCCAGTAACTTTGTTATGCGACGTGTATTTTGTGACGGGGGTTTTGGCTCATAACATTTATGTGCAGGTGTCTTGCGGTCCCTTTAGGAAGCGAACCGACTATGTGCGCGCCAACGAGGGGGACACATTCCCAAGCGGGAATCGAAACGTGAAGAAAGCGCGTCAACTAACAGCAAATGGGGAAAACCATTATCGTGGAAGTAACGAAGAGGCAAACTTTTCCAACCTGCTCAATTTCGATGACTTGCTGAACATGGACAATTTCTTCTCGAAAGTCACGGAAAAGCAAAAAATCATCGAGGGGGGAGAAAACACCGAATTTTATTTCTCTCCCAGAAAGGGGAAGATAGAGAATCTCAAATTTTGCGTTGTCCGGGATGAGCTACAGCAGTGGGACGTCATAATAAATGTGTTCGAGCGGGCAGGCCAGCAGGGGAACAGCGCCGATGAGGGAGATGGCGCGGATTCCGGCAGTAGTGGTGGTAGCGGCGGGCCTAGCTCAAGATCGCGGCTGACAGCCCACCAGAAGTACATCCTGAGCAAACGAAAAGCGCAGAGTGGAGGGCGGAAAAATAAGAGGCATCATAAAAGGAGACACTCCCCTGGAGAGCGCAACGTCGAGGGTGTAGAGAAAAACGAAGCGTACAACACTGATAGAAGAATTGCATATTATAGACTCCCACTGAAGAACGTCCTCCTCTACAATGAAAAACTGTCAAGGTGTCCCATTTGGATCCCCTTAAAGAATATCCCCCAAAATATCCAGGGAGAAAATAACTACATGTACAACATATTTCAAAATGGGTCCATATTACTCAACTTAGAAAAGGCTTATGACGTCCAATTAGGAATAAATAGAAGAAAAAATCTCATCCCAATTAACTATGAATTAAGATGCTACATCTACGCATGTCGAAATGTAGTGTCCAACTTTAATGACTCACCTAACACGTTTGTGCATATCTCTTGCTCAGGGAAAATGAAAATAACTTCTCTTGTGTTGAGCAATTCTAATCCTGTCTTTTTACAATGCTTAAAAATGAACGTGAAAATTTTAACAGACTATTCTGTAGGGTTACCTACCATCCCCCTCATTGTAGTTACCTTATATGAATTTTACAATAACACCTTTTACTTCATTGGAAGGTGCTTCTGTAATTATGACATTTACCTTCGTGACAATAAAGTGAAATGTAATTTTGCAGATAGAGGTTCTAAATATAACGTGGTCGACCAGGTAAAACCTAGGTGGATTAAACTTAAAGGGAGTAAACATGTGCGGGCTATGTATCCAAATAATTTGTGGCAAAATCGTGGGAACGACAAAAGATTGATGCAGGAGTATATGTATGAAAAGCAGAAAG